ACATTTTAATATATTACACATTTATATCCGATAAAAACTTAAAAAACAAATAATTCTAAAATGTTCTTTTAAAAAAAATGATCTTCTTAAAGTACCTTCCCACTCTGATTTCTATTCAGAAAAGCTGCTACACTTAAAATTCGGTTTACAATTTCTGGTAGAAAAGTTTTCTACAAAAAAAAAATGAACATCTTTGTAAAACCATAAGCTTCTTTGCTCTATTCAGAATCTAAAAATCTCATAACGTATAACTATAGCTATGGTATACTCGAGTGCATTACGTAATTACGAAAATATTATAGTAGGACATTATAATATAATACTGTAGATGTGTGAACTACTTTTCATCTTTCAATAATGAATTATATAAAACTAACGTTAGGTAATGCGTAATCTCAAAGTTGTTGAAACGTAATTACAGCTACGTTATAGTGATACTTTAGTGATCTATGATTTAAATCGATCATTGATGAGATAATTTTACTGTAAATTCAATATAATACATTTTACGTTTATCCAGTTTTGTTTGATTATAATTGGACTACATAATATTTGAAATAAATGTATGTACTATTATTTCAAAGTTTGAACTTCAAACGCTCCTGGAGTTGTTCTTGTAAGTTACAAGCTATCTCGCCCGGCTTTGTTCATCTAATAAAAAGGTTTCTAAATAAAGTTAATAGATAAATTATCATTATACGTTATTACCAATTACCATAGATATCTAGGGATACTGCAACGATTGCATTACAAACATCAATAATAATATATTTTTTCATTCGAGTTATTAAGGAAATAGAATTTCTTAACGTGTATTTCTCGAGAACCAGAAAAGCATTCTGAACAACTGTCTACCTATATATATATACTCATGACCAATCACACACAGACTCCAAAATGTACGCGGATGACATACGTTTTGTAACCCAAGACTAGAGTCTAGACTCTGTCGAGAACACCATAACCATAAAGATTTATCACTTTTGGAATCGTTTTTAAAAAAAAGGAGGCTCAACCCAAATTCTTCTAAAAACATCTGATCAGCAGGGAAGCCAATAAAAACGTTTCAGTCTATTTATGCGTTAAAAAAACCAAATTTGAAAAACTCTTGGTGTTTAACTTGGTATCACACAGAATCGGATGCTTATCTATAAGACATACAAAGTAGCAGAAAAACTAAAAACTAGGTTAAGACTCATTAAAAAATTGACAGACACTTCCTGTACGGAAAAAAAATTTCTATTATTCTGTAAATAAAATAAATATGATTACATGTGCTGTATTATGGATTACGTATTTACATATTACTATATAAAATTACGATTTCTCGTATTATAGCAACTAACAAGACTAGTTTAGTTTCAATAACTACAATAACATATAGTAACATTATAAATAAATAATATAGTAAAATTGTCTATAATAATGATTGTTTTAGGGAATTCACCTGAATTTTAATCTATACAATTTAATTTAAACAACATTTATTTTTTGTTTTCTCATTTATTTTATTTAATTCAATTTTTCTTATTTATTTGATTTAATATGTTCTCTTTAAAACTTAAAAATATATTTACGTTGGGTTTTACTATTTTATTAACCAACTATTTAGTGCTATTGTTTATTGTTACATCATACGAAAAAATAAATGACGTGTCTGTACGATAATTTTAATATCATTAAAGTCAAAAATAATTGTTATTATGAGACAGTAAGACTATAATATCCATAGTATAATAATATTCATTTTCATATGCAAATTAATTCTTTTGAAGAAAATTAACATAAACCAGTGTGGTGTTTGTGTTCTGCTCGGGAATCTGTAATTTCAAGTATTTATAATTATAATAATATCATCATGGTAAACATTAGACATGGTATTATGGTTAATTTCAATAGAAATAACAACGTTTAAAGAGGAGAATATACGTAGCTTAATTTTTTTTTTAATTTTGACAAAAAATGTATAGTCATGTTAATTTTTTAAATAGCTGTAACTTGTTTGTATAACAATTTTTTTAAAAGTTACGTACAGTTTTTTAATAATTGGGAAAAACGAGAAAATTTACGTCCTTCAACACAGCCATCCCCAATGTTACCTCTTATTTTTTTTTTAGTTAAGTACTGTACAACGTTAAAATGTTACGCAAGCTTCATAAGCACTAAGGGGCGAGGAAATGTGTTATTAGCATTTCACGGACGATACGAACATAATATTATTACCACCTATGTAATACCTTTCGACACTTGCACGGTAAAACCACATTGTCGTAACAATTATTGTCATTTTATTGGTTTTGTAAGTACTTAACTAAATATTATTCCCTTAGTCGCTCCATTTCTTTTTATTCCTTGTACAATTATGTACTTAGCATAGGAAATAATGTAAAAATGTCAAATATTAATTCGATCTGAGTTGATATGCGGCAGTAATAGCAGTTTAGTATGTACAGCTATTATAGCTGTACTATAATGCTATGCATATATTGTATTATACCCTAGCTGCAGTATCCATTATCGGTATTAAACGAACACGATAAATGTAGTCATCAATTGAAAATTATATTGTTTGATAACCATAAACTAAAAAATATGCATTCAGTGAAACCGGGTTTTATTCTTTTATACAACTATATCCAAACCGAAATCAATATAATAGCCAAATGTGAAATGGTAAATAATTTAGCCATTATTATTTAATTGTATCGGTACAATAAAAATAAAAATCCTCTTTCGTATAACACTGTCCTATACATATTATTAACGGTGCAACCCAAACGGCTTCCATCCATTGTTTGTTTTTTCTCAAAGGCTCCCGTTGAAAAAGGTTTCACGAGTAGGTAAAGGGAGTTACCCGTATCATAAATTTGGTCGATTCCCTTTTCGCCAAATGAAAAAAAATAGTCTAATATTCGAATATTAATGGAAGACGGTATCATAAATTATTATTATTGTATTATAAAAACTGCATTTTACTGTTGACAACGCAGTTCGGTTGAAAAGTGGCTGCGTTGTAACGATCAGCTTCGTACATATCGTATAACTATATCAACTGATATAACAAGCAAGATTAGCAACATAATCGATAGCGTTGGGGAAATATGATAATTAGCGATAAATTTATCATTGGACGGAATTACGGTACGTTATAGATATCTTGTCCTGGTCCAGATACAATTCCAAATATATTTTTTAGTGAATGTAAATTCGTCCTTGCCATCTCTCTGTTACACTGATTCAATCTGTCTCTTGAGTCGGGTGTTTTTCCGGATAAATGGAAAGTTACTTATATTTAACCAACCCCTAAAGGAGGCGACAATACTCAAGTAACTAATTACCGTCCTATTTCGATAACCTCAATAATTCCAAAACTACTAGAAAGTATTGTATCAAAACAAATTAATTCAATATTTAAAAAAATAATAATTGATGAGCAGCATGGTTTTACGACTGGAAGGTCTATTACTTCTAATCTTTTAGTATTCCAACGCTATGTATTAAATGTATTTAAGTGGATGTTTTCTATACCAACTCCTCGAAAGCTTTCGAGAAAATTGACCACAATATTCTTATCACCAAATTATACAACTTAGGCTTACGTAATCCTTTTCATTCATGGTCAATATTTTTTTTAACTGGTAGAAAACAATATATTAAAATTAAAAACTTTTGCTCAAGTCAATATAATGTATTTTCCGGTATCCTTTAAGGGTCTCATATTGCACCATTATTATTTAATATATTCATCAACGATATTGAATTTACCCATTCACGAGTTACTCTTTGTGGATGGTTTAAAATTATTTCGTATCATAAAGACCCCAAATGATTCAGAGTTATTGCAAAATGTTATACACGTCCTCTATGATTAGTGTAATCAGAATAGTTAACTTTTTAATATGTTTAAGTGTAAAGTATTATCATTCTCAAATAAACAGATACCATATATTTATAAGTACAATTTAAATGACTCTGAAATCACACGCGTTTATAAGAATAATAACTTAAGTATAAATTTGTATATAACACTATCGTTTAATAAACATTATTTAAATATTCAAAACAGAGCTTCTTCTTTGCTTGGTTTTATAAATCGAAGTTGTAAAAGTTTTAAAAATCCATGTACATTAAAAGCACTTTATCGCTCATATGTACGGTCAATTTCGGATTCTATAGTTTGGTCACACAATTAATAATAGGGTTGGTCTGATACAAACAATAGAGTCGATACAAAATCTTTTTTTAAGATTTTTGTCATTTAACTGTGACATTCAACGTCAACCTTACTTCTCTTACCAGCCGTTATTATCAATTTTAAACATTGAACCGTTGGTGATACGAAGGTAAAGGTTTAGATCTCTATTTCATTTTTAAACTACTTAACGGACAAGTTTATTGTCCTGAATTTATTTCGAGCTTAAATTTCTTGGTCCATAGTTGTAACACTAGACAACTAAATATATTTTATGTACCAGTCCAGTCTACCAATTATGATCAAAATTCTCCTATGAATAGAGGTATAGAATTAGTCAACTTATTTCATATAGATTTATTTTCATGTATAACTGTTAATATTTTTAAGATATATTTAAATAATTTAATACATTATAATATAAGAACAATTAAATACAATCTTAGACGCAAATTAAAGTTCGAGTTCATATCAATTTTCCTTTTTGTAAAACAGGTGTCGTTTGAGAATTTTCCTTTTTGTAAAACGGGAGTCGAATGGGCTACATTCGTTATTAAATTACGCATCATGTATTATAACGTTATGTGACTCGTTACCAAGCTCAGTGACTCGAGCCGATTACATACCAACACTGTGGGAGCTATAAGGAGTCATTCGGAGGAGTGTGAAAGTGTTCCAAAACAAATCACAGGTATCTAGTAAATTTATTTATTTCGTATGGCCTGGGTATCAAACACATAATACACTATTCACTTTCTAACTGTAACAAATATAGAATAATAAAATAAAAATAGAACATAAGGTTCTGGTAGTACACATATAGCTGTTAAATATATTATATAAATTGAAAACGCAAGTAAAATAAAATAAATCAACATATAATAATATTGTTATAAATAGTAATTAATTATAAGTCTAAGTCAAGTTCTATTAGCCATTCTATTGCCTCTGGTAGCTTTGTGGATTCCTTCAGTCCCTTGTCCGAATGACCTCCTGGGACACGATTCCACGATGTGTTTCATGGTCTGTTCCACTTCCCCACAATCACACGCAGCACTATCTTTGTGGCGCCATTTGAATAATAAAGATCCACATCTTCCCTGTCCTGTCCTGATCCGATTTATTGTTGTCCATTGGTTTCTTGGTAGTGACATGCCTTCTATTTTTTGGTCGGGTCTAGTAATAAGATCTTTATTTGTAACATGTGATTTTGTCCACTCTTCATTCCATAANCTGGATTTTAGTCTATTTATCGGTTTATCCCTTAGCATTTGGAACAGTAGTGATTCTTTGTAGTTTAGGCATGAAGTTATAGTGTTGACTAGAGCCTCTTTCCTCCGGATGTGGGGTGGTGCTATATTTGTCAGCACTGGGAGCCAAGGTGTTTGTTCTAGTAAATAAATACATATTATTATCCCGATGTAGATTGGTAATTTTTAAAAAATGTTTGCGTAACAACAAAATAATTCACGTATATTAACGAAGGTACCTACTGCGTATAGTATTAATATTATATGTGGGTAGGTAGGTAGATAGGACATTAGACAGGCGTAGTAATTACTCGCCGAGTTTTCGGGTTTTCAATTAATTTATTATAAAAAATTCACCGCGTACGGCAGCCGTCGCCTACGCACATTATCGCCGCCGCTAGTCGAGCATCGTACAACTGTCGTACTACTCGACTTATAGGTAGGCCGAACACGTTTTCAGCCGTTGCCGCCGGGTAGCGTATTTCGCACGTGTACGCGCATTCGAAACACTACGCTCCAAATGGCTAGATCGTCTATTTCCAGCCCCCCCCCCAATAGTCGATAAAAAACAATAAAATCCAGTTGACTACGACGGATAAAACGCAAACGAAATTTTTTCTATACGATAGATTCCGACCAGTCACCGCTTTGTTTCACCGAGACGCCTGCGTTGAACGCATACTGACTTGAATGATGTGCAGGAGGTACCAATACACTTAAATAGCGGTTATGAATGCACGTACATAAGCAAAATACGCTCACGTGTTTAAGTAAATCAGAGGGGAAGTGGGAAAACTAACTCCTATGAAGTTACAGTGTCTTAGCGTAGTGGTTCTGAATCCATGTAAAAAATATGTCGCCGAGTAAAACAAGAACGTCACTGTCGTGGGCGAACGACGGATTTCACCTGGCCTATCTACAGGCTAAGAACTCCGCGATGTTTACCGGTTCTCACAGCACCGACACGCGTTATAAAAGCCAAGGAACTGTACACATAATATAACTGTATAAACCAATACCTACCGTACTAAAACGCAGATGCCGAGATACGATATAATAATGTAACCCACGCCGTGCATCGTTTTAGCTATTTGTCCGACGGTATGACTTCGGACTATACGATTTATTATTACTTCCTTTAGGAAATTGCAGCAGCGTGTTGTATAGAAATTGCATCACGTCTAGAAAATGCTAATATTTATAAGTATCCGGTGGAAGTTTAACAGAATCGCAACAAAACACCGAAATGGAAAATAATAGAAACGGTTATTGCGTACATAATAATTACCGATTTTTTTCTGAGTATTCCCATTATTACGAAAACTACAAGGAAAATCAACACCTGAATCCGATAACATTAGCTACAAAAAAAAAAGCCTCATGGTCGTATTTTGATTGGAAAAATTTTGTTTGGCTTTTTACAAATGCTCGAAAATTGCACACAAGTTCAGTAAACTTTTAATAACTTAGTGGCAAAGAAAACGTCGAGCATAATGTGGTTTTGTTTTTTTATAAGCATTTACAGTTCAAATTTATATACAAATTATAAAAACTGCCGAATTTCCAAACATGTTTAACCGAACTTCGCTCAGAATCGTTTTTCGTTAGTATTGCATTTATACGAATATACAAATATGTATTCAATAATTTTATGCATCTCATCTTCCCAAATGTCCACCTAAAATAGTGGCAAACCCATCAGTAGTAGGTATCAGCTCGTTTTATTTCGTTTTACGTTTGATTTGTTTACCCGACAGGAATATTATTTATACAATACCATTCACGTTTTACATTATATTATTATTTAAGGTAGATAATAATTCGATTATTAATTAATCCATTCTATTTATTCATTGTATTTTAATCAAATTATATGTTATATATGTTACGGTTTATGTTGTTGTGTTTAATATAATTTTTGTTTATGAAAACCAATTTTGTGCTGTTAGTTTTAATATTAGAGTGTATTAATTAGCCTATTATTGAGCTTATAAGAATATTGTCTGTTTTTGTACGCTGGTATTTTTTAGACATTTTAATTTTAAAGCGAATTACGAGTATGTGAAATATTACAATTTAAAAACCATAAAATCTGGCTTGAAAATTAAAATATTGAAAAAAATTATCGTACACACACTGAATATGTTCTTACCTTTAAGTTCAATACTGAAAATTTGCATGAGAGTTTAGACTTAAATAATTTAGATAATATGGTTGAAGTTTTCTTTTCAAAAATTAGTGATTTTATAATAGAGAATCATAATAGTGAAGAACACCATATATCTTATGGTACAGGGTATAGTATTAGATCCTTTATTATTCATCATATTTATTAATGACCTTAAAATTAAAATAAATAATAATATTAAATTAATAAGTTTTACTGATAATACAGCTATACTCTTATCTGAACAAACTATGAATGCTTTGTATTATGAGTCAACTAAAATTTTAAATTTGGTCTAAGTCTGGTTTTGTGAAAACAAATTAAAGTTAAATCAATTAAAATCTAAATTTATGCGTTTTGAAATGAAAGACTTCAATTCTTTAATTAATATTAATTTAGGAATAAATTCATTAAATTGTGAACCAAATTTAAATACTATATGCATATTCATATACTATAGAGGTGTATTAAGCTTGAACAGGTTGAAAATATAAAATACCTAGGTGTTATTCTTGATTATAGGCTAAAATGGGATAAGCATATTGCATATAAATTACCTAAATAATATCTTACGTAAATATTTTTATATTTTTAAAGAAGCAAGATATATTTTTAATATTTCACATAAAAGAGTTATTTTTTTGAAATTAGTACAATCTTTATACTCTTATTGTATATCGATCTAGGGAGGTACTTTTAATAATCATTTGTCTACTATTATTACTACTCTAAACAGTATTATTAAATATTTATTATTTATACCAATACGGACTAATACTACTTTTATTTATAAGGGATTAGAGGTGAACGACTTTAAATTGAATTATAATTTATCTGTTTTGATTAAATTATATAAGCACACGCATTTAATTCCAATAATAAATCATCAGCACAGCATTAGATACAATAAAAATATTAATATAGATTTACTACAATTCTTTTTTAACATGTAGTAAAACTATATTAATACTTTTCTTGTATCTAATGCTGTGATCATGATATATTATTGGAATTAAATGCTTATGCTTAAGCTATGTTAAAAAAGAATTTGGTAAAAATAGTATTTTGAACACGGGATTAAGATTATGTCATTGATTAAATATTAGTATTGATCACTTTAAAAGTTTTGAGTTGTTTAAATTATATATGAAACACCTAGATCTATCCAATATTTAAATATAGTTTGTATACAAATCTAGATTGTTGTAAGTTATAGTTAGGTTTTTCTCTTAATATAAATTTATATTTATATGTGACTGACAATTTTTTGTTTTATTTAACTAGTTTTATGTATTTTGAAAATTGATAAGAATGGCTCCCCCAGCACGAGCTCAGCTTTAAGGGGGTGGTGCAATATTGCAAAAATTAAACTAACCAAACTATACCTATTATATATTATTGTTGCAAATATATTATTATTATTATTATTATTAAAAGTTTGATAATAGACTCGTACACTCTAACACTACAACGAACAGCACAAAATCGGTTAAAGTATAAATATAACGACATTAATTGATTTTACAACGTTAACCGTAACGCATATAATAAAAGTAGACGCATAATAAATTGAAAATTCGCGTTTTTAAAATAATAATTTTTTTTTATTTTGGTTTATTCGTGCGGTTGTAATAACGCAATTGCCCGTCATAGACTTATACTGCAAGTCTTATATTATACACAAGTCCGTAACTCGGTAACTATATACGGAGTTTTCATTAACGATAATCAGGACTCGCCCAAGTTTGGCTAAGTATATATATATATATATATATTTATATGTCTGCTACATCAAAGCGTTATTCGATTTGTTCATATAAGCAGAATACATAGTTTGAAGTAGGTACAGCCATAAAAACCGGTATATTATTATGTGTTTAAACTGCACAGTCCGTAGCTTATTTATTATAGTATATTATAATGCTTTGAATCTAACTTCTTTGATGCTAATATAACGTTGTGCACTCAGATAGATGGGCACCTACGTAGAATAAAGTATTATACAAAATATCGCATTAGATATTGTGTGACTTTGTTAGTTTTAAAAGAATTTAGTTAGGTACACTGTACCGATCTACAATATATTAATATAGAACATCATAATTTATAGCAATTCAGAACTAATATTATTTATTGTTTAACGCGTAATAAATTAAACCTACGATAAAATGTACGGTTTTTAATTTTAAGTATAGCTATTGGTATTTCATATGATCCGGAAATTATGAAATATGCAGGGCATAATTTATTATGATTTTTACAGCTCATTGTTTTTTAATGAAATATAATAATATTTACAATCAAGCACGTTTTTTACTTAGTAAAAAAACAAACAAACAAACAATAAAAGTAATAAATTAAAAAACACCCGTGAGCAGAAGAACTCGAATTCCTCTCTTCCCCCACCCTATTCTGTATTATAGAGATATTCTTTGTCAAACAATAAATAACCGAATATATACAATAATTTAATATACTGTGTTTAAATATACACGGAAGTCCGTAGTTACAATGCGCACATGACCGACTAATCAGAAGCGTTCAAAGTTTTCGGGTGCGGGAGACGGATTACTACACTTGTCGGTTTCCGCTGGTTAACTCGAGTACTACTGCGCGGCCCATATCGGGAATAGCGGAATAGCCGGTCACCTAACATACGTTTTCAACTCGATAAACTACTGTAAAGAGGATAGTATTCTAAATGTAAACCTGAAACTCGCTAACGGACCATTGTACGCAAAGTGCTATCATTGAATATCGGAGCAAAATTACTGAAGAAAAGTTGTCTACAGAAAAATAAATAAAATAAACATCATTGTAAAACCAATACATTCCTCACTCCATTCAGAATCTAAAATCATATTATAGACAGAATTGTCAGTTTTGTACATTATTACGAATAAAATATGTTTATTTAGTACGTCATAATAATCTGATATGCAATATATAAATGCATACAAATATAATTCTTTTTTTTTTTTTTTTTAGTAAACCGTAGGGGGTACTTGCCCCCAGTGCTCCCTGAATCCACCCTTGAATGTACGAAGCGGGAACTGTTCAATATCAACACAATTGTTATTATGAAAACCCACGATCACCATAACTCCCTAATTCATGGTTAAATTGTCTAAAATATATAAATACGTACCTAGTATTACATATACAAACGTATATTATATTTGGCACCGTTTTAGTATATCGACTACATCACTTGAAAGGAATTAAAAAAAAAAAATGTTTTAAAAATAAAGAGTAGTTTCGACATTTCTTAATTTTGCAGAGTTTTAACATCTCTTACAGTTATGTCTTCTCATAGGTTTCTAAATTTACACTACAACTTCTATAGTTAATGCAAAACAGTCTGTAGTATACTAATAAAACAACCGAACAGAAAGATAACTATCTCCAGATTGAGAACATAATATTATTTTTTAACCTGACTAAACTTTAACAAATACAACGGATGTACTCGTACCTATTCTAATATTTTGTATGGAAAATTCAAAGGTACATACAGATTCATTATTCTGAACATTAATTAATTAAAAAAAAATATATATATACAGAGTGATTTTTTTGGTTCATGATAAAAAAAAATCACTCTGTATATGCATATATATATTTTTTTTATTAATAAGAAATTATTATTTTTTATCATTTGTAAATGGGTCATAATATGCATAGTAGTATATAGATATAGATAAATATTGTAAAATAATAAATAACACTGACTTGAGTTGCTGAAGTGAGTAAAGGTGAGGCGAATGATGTGGGCAGTGAAAAAATATATCACGTGAGAAGAAATAACAAATTTGTTTTCAAAGTTATATTTTTGGAGATACGAGTCATTAATTTGCACATTAATACATTATTTGCTATATTTTACGATTTATTAATCATATTTATATGTATATGATCCGTTTAGAAACCTTTGATAATAATAATGTTAAAAGAAATAAATAATGATATATTATTATTACATCGGTTAATAATTATTATATCGAATCGA